GACAAATGCCCAAAGATAGGTGCCTCTTTATCAAAAGTCTCTAAAAAGACTGATTTATCATTTGAGGATATGGGGGCTTCGAAGGACCCGATGGACAGGAAAGCGGAGGCTTTGCTCAGGAAGGGATGGGAATCGGCAAGTGCTGGATTTAAACCTGGGCTGGCCATTACTTGTGTGGCCAGGACTTTGGGCGTGTGGCTGAATCAGCTGCAAGTCCACCTGCAGTCTGGTACTGATCGTGATCAGTTACTAGGTTCCCTCCCGGTGCTGAGCAAGGCAGCCGCTTACATTGCGGACGCCTCGGCTGAAGCAGTCAGGTACTCAGCGCGAACTACGGCATTGATCAACTCCGCCAGGAGAGCGTTGTGGCTCAAAACATGGTCAGGGGATGCAGCCTCCAAAGCAAAATTGTGCGGGCTACCTTTCAAAGGCTTTTTGGCCAGGAGTTGGAGGCGGTGTTGGATAAATCCGCGTACAAGAAAAAAGGTTTCCCACTGCCACCCAAGCAGCAGGGGAAGAAGTTTTTTTTGTGGCCAAAGGGGGCAAAATTTCTGCAAAGAAAAGAGCGTTTTTCATGGGAAGAAGCAAGACCAATCCAAAGGGTGGGCTTTAAAAAAAGGAAAGTCCAAAGGTAATTTCCTCTTTAACCCCCCTCAGCAGCCCAATAAATCCCAATGACCAATTGCTCAGGGTGGGAGGAAGATTGGGAGAATTCTTCCCACTCTGGAGAGGGTTGACCAGCAACAAATTCATTTTGGAGCTGGTACAGCTCAGCTACAAGATAGAACTGACGGAACGGCCCCTGTCCAGGCTTCCGATTACTTCCCTGTCCAAGGACCGGAGGAAAGCAGAGGCAATGACGGCGGCCCGACAAGATCTGTTGGACCAGGGGGTCATTGTGCGAGTACCGGCTTCAGAGAAGAGGGTGTTTTACTCCCACATCTTTCCCAGGATGAAGCCCTCTGGAAAATGCAGACTGATGCTCAATCTGCAACCTCTGAACAAGGTGGTACTGTACAAAAGGTTCCGTATGGAATCGATCTTTTCAATACGAGAGTTGCTGCCCCCATTATTTTTTCTAGCGACCATAGACCTAAGTGACGCTTATTTTCACATTGCGGTAAGACAGTCGTCACAATACCTACTGAGATTTGCTCTGACGGGACCAGCGGGGGTCCTGCATTTTCAATACAGGGCCTTGCTGTTCGGCCTCTCCTCTTCACCTCGAATCTTTACAAGTGTTGGCAGAGACTCTGGCTCCCCTAAGAGTACAGGGGTAGGGGTCATTCCATACTTGGACGACCTTTTGTTTTTCACCCCATCGGAGATGTTTCTCCGACAAAAGCTGGAGCTAGCGATACGGCACTTGGAGAGTTTGGGTTGGTTGGTGAAACGGGAGAAGTCACAACTGGTACCCGCACAGACGGTAAAGTTTTTGGGTTATTGGATCAATACCCAGGAAATGACCATTGCATTACCAGGGGAAAAAGTGTATTTATTGATGGAGGAGACACTGAGACTGAAGTTGCAGTATCAGTCAGGTCAGTAATGAGAGTGGTGGGTCTTATGACGTCCGCCATCCCAGCGGTTACCTGGGCGCAATTCCATTCAAGGACATTACAGAATTGGCTTTTGAGGATCTGGGGAAGTCGGCTAGAAGACTTAGACTAAGTGGTCCACATCACAGAGGAAATCAAGCATTTCCTGCTGTGGTGGGTTGACTGTCGGAACCTCTCAGTCGGCAGGCAATGGTGCCAGCCAACACCACTAGTAGTCACGACAGATGCCAGTGCCTGAGGTTGGGGCGCCCACTGCCTGGAGCACATTTGGCAGGATACCTGGGAGCACGCGGGCCGAATCAAGTCATCAAACTGGCGAGAGTTAAAGGCGATAGAGCTGGCTCTCTGCCAGTTTTGGGATACTTTAGCAGGACACCATGTAGCGGTGACCTCGGACAATGCCGTAGCGGTGGCTTATATAAACAGGCAGGGGGGCACGCGTTCGCACAGCCTGATGGCGTTAGCGACGGATATTCTGTCTTGGGCGGAACGCAACCTCCTCTCCTTGACGGCGAGGCATATCAAAGGCAGCCTGAACGAGCTGGCAGACTCACTCAGCAGGACGGAGCTTCACAGGTCAGAATGGGCTCTGAACACGAGAACGTTTGCCTGGATCACCAGCTTGTGGGGCTGTCGAGAGGTAGACCTCTTCGCAGCGGCCAACAGGCAGGTGGAACAATTTTTTTTCCCTCTCCAGGACCAATGGGGCTCTCGGGGTGGCGCTTTGGTGCACCCCTGGAGGTTCCATTTAGGTTACACATTTCCTACACTGCGGTTAATTCCGAATGTGCTTCAGAAACTCAGGGGCGAACGAATGACCTTAATTCTAATCACGCCATATTGGCAGAAGAGGCCGTGGTTCACGACACTCCTAGAGCTGTGTGTGGAGGGACCTCTGCTTCTTCCACCAACGGCCGACTTGCTGGTACAGGGTACGATGAGACACCCGCAAGTACAGGCTTTAAATTTAGCTGCATGGCTTCTGAGAGGGAGGTGCTGATTAACAAGGGGTTATCCGCAAAGGTAGTGACTATGCTGATGCACAGTGGAAAGCCGGTAACGTCTGCGATTTACCTGAAAGTGTGGAGAGTTTTTTTTTCCAGCTGGTACAGCAGCCAAAGTAGGCCTATGGCCGACACCGTACCGTTGGTGTTAGATTTCCTACAGGGTTGCCTGCATAAAGGGCTTTCCTGTAGTACTCTGAAAGTGCAGGTTTCGGCTCTGTCTAATTTAGTGGACATTAGGCTGGCAGAAGAGCCCCTCATAAAAAGGTTTATGCGAGCTGTAGTCAGAATGAAGCCCCCAAAGGGTAAGGTCGTGCCAAATTGGGATCTCTCGGTGGTATTACAGGGGTTTCTCAAGCAGCCTTTCGAGCCCCTGGGGGGGGTGTTCAATACAGCATCTGACGATAAAGACAGCCCTCTTGGTAGCGTTGGTTTCTGCTCGGAGAGTGAGCGAGATTCAAGCATTCTCCATTGCGGATCCGTACTGCACCATCCTGGTGGATACAATTATTTTGCGGCCGGAGGACTCAGGAAGTGGTCATCCCTTCGTTTGCTACTAACCCTGGCTCGGCTAGGGAAAGGGAATGGCAGGGTATTGACGTACGTAGGTGCGTCTTGGAGTACCTTAGAGTTGCAAAACCTTGGAGACAGTCGACCCGACTCTTTGTAGTATTTGGGGGGTCCCACTAGGGGGAACAGGGCCACTAAGAGCACGATAGCTAGGTGGATTAAAATGGCCATAACTGAGAACTACAAGGCACAGGGCTTGGTGTTACCAGGTCCGCTCACGGCACACTCGACTCGAGCATGGGCTACTTCATGGGCAGATCGAGCAGGGGCTACTCCAGACCAGATCTGCAGAGCAACCACTTGGTCTAGTTTCCAGACATTCGTCAGGCACTACAGGCTGGACCTTATGACTCAACAAGACCAGGCATTTGGCAGGAAGGTCCTGCAAGCTGTGGTCCCACCCTAAGAGGTAAGATTTGTCCTCACTGATCCTCTCATTGGCTGTCCTGGAAGATGACTGGGGAAAACATGAGTTGATTGCCTGATAACTCTGTTTCCAGGAATCTTCCAGGACAGCAGATTCCTGCCCTTGGTTGGTATCCAGGGGACATCTGTGGTTGGATGACTGAGGGGATACTTTAGTACATTGGGTAGCCTTCGGTCCTAGAGGTTACTGACTTGGGATAGAAGGAGGAGTCTTTATTTAATGTGGTTGATAGGCTCTGCTGCCTGCAACAGGAAACACATCAACCACATTAAATAAAGACTCCTCCTTCTATCCCAAGTCAGTAACCTCTAGGACCGAAGGCTACCCAATGTACTAAAGTATCCCCTCAGTCATCCAACCACAGATGTCCCCTGGATACCAACCAAGGGCGGGAATCTGCTGTCCTGGAAGATTCCTGGAAACAGAGTTATCAGGTAATCAACTCATGTTTTTTTACCTCCGTTTCGGCCATCATGGCACTTTAGGTAATTTGCCAAATGTGCCATTATGTTTCGGTGGCTGACATTTCGGTGCACCCCTAGTGACTACAGCAAAATGTGCCAGCCTGCTGTTTTGGTAGGGCTACTTGTAGTCCAACCCAGGACCGTGCAGGAAAAGGGGAAATTGCTGCCACTAAACAGTAAGCATGGTCACCCTGGGAAAGTACATAAAAGCTGACAAAGAACAAGGTCCTCTGGCACCGAAGGTGAAGATGCCAAAGTGCACCCCTAAGTTACGACTGATTGTGCTTGCATGTCCATACTTACAGTGGAAGGCCTGTTAGAAGTTAGGAATGTTTGGGTAAATTTTACTTTATTTTGAAATGAATCACCGATCTCAAAGGTTTGAAAAGAGATCACTGAATATAGAAATTGGTGTACTTGCTGTTCAATTTTTGCTTTCTGGGGAAAAAAAAACACCCACAATCTAACATCTGAAGTCACTAAAAAAAATTCATTCAAGATGTCGAAACGTCACATCATAAAACTACTCAGTTTTATTGTCTTCGTTTTTTGTTTTTGTGCATTCCTCACTCTGCTCCTTCAAATAGAGTCCCACTGCACTCCTGACCTAAAAGCCCCTATATTTTGGGGGATGTGCTAAAGTGGCTGCGCATGGCGCCGCCAAATCCTTGCAAAACAGCCTAAATGGTCACCAGCACACTTTTCTTCAAAACTGAGTCCTTTTTTCATTCTAGCAGGTCATATCACAATGCGTGGCAACGTTTCGGGGCCTGATGAAGGGACCGGACAGGTTCCGAAGCGTTACCTTGCATGGTGACATGACCTGCTATGATAAATAAAATAATTTTGTTTTGAAGAAAACTTGGAGTGCTGGTGGCCATTTATTCTGTTTCACACTGCTCCTTGACACACAATTTGGGATTTATTTTTTATTTTTTATCAGATTGTAACTTGGTATCCATTTTTTTTTCTGCAGGTACTGTTCTCGTCAGGACTGGCAATGGCCAACTTATGTTGGTCTCGCAGCAGGCTCTGGCCCGAGCTCAGGCACAAGTACAAAATGCCAAACCCCGTGCACCAAATGCTCAAACTGTTCATATCGCCAATGTACAGGTAATGGGCTATTAGATTTTATCAATAGTACCCCGTCCCTGTGTTTTTATTAAAATATTTAACTGAGCGCAAAAAGAATTCATGTTTGGTGGGTCATGCCTGCTAGTTGTTCTTGACTCTGATTATACCATCTACTGAGCAAATTGAGCAGTGACTTTATTTTATGCAGCACTATATTTTCCAGTCTTACAGGTTTGGTTCTTTACATTATTCAATAATAGAGATTAACTACACTACCCCTTTTGAGGTGTGTTGTAAAGCAGGCTGTAGTACCTATTCAAGTCCTCTTAGGATTTACCAATACAATGTAATGTGAAGGCCTACATAATCAACCCAATAATTTTATATCCAATTAGGCAGGCCCTTGCATTACGTAGTTGTTTGTCTAAAGCATGGGTGGGTAAACGCTGGCCCTCCAGCTGTGGTGCAACTACAAATCTCATTAGGAATTGCAAGACTCTGATTCTGACTTTGGTTTGTATTTTCACCACAGCTGGGGGGGCTGGAATTTTTCCTACCTCTGGTCTGGTCTCCCTTTTATTCTTCGAGAGTAATATGGGTGAATGACAATCTGGTTGCTGGGGGACCAACCGTAACACACATTTGTTGTTCTTCATAAAAATCAATCACAATTTCAGTATTGGGTAGAACTCAAATCTCCTTGGTTTTCTATCATTCATAGAGTAAGAAGTATTTGTTTTTATCATATGTTTTTATTCTAATGTTGCAAACATTTTCCTTTTAATTTCATCAATCCTTTCTTTTATTTCAGACTGCAGGTACACCAAGCAATGCTACCAAAGTTTCCTCTTTGGTCTCCAAAGCAGGTCCTTCTGTCCCAGTCCCTACTGTAGTTAGAATCTGCACTACTCCTCAAACAATAGCTAACAGCCAGGGAACCTCAACGGTCATTATTAGAGCCCCTGCTCCCTTGACCACTCCCATAACTACTCTCTCACGTACTTTACCTTCTGTAGTAACAGTCCCTGCCTCTACTGGAGTTTCATCTGCAGCCAGCGTGAATTCTACCACTGTCACAATGGTTCCTGTTAGAACTTCCTCACCGACAGTCACACCAGTGACAAACCATGGAACCTCTATTATGGCCCCAGCTACGATTGTATCTTCTACTACTACTACATCATCACCAACTGCCAGCTCTGTTTTACACATTATGGTTAATCCAGTTAAGTCCAATATTGTACAGACTACTGTGCCATCTAACAGTCAGCAAGTTACTGCAAGTAGTCCTGCTCTCAAGGTGGCATCTAAGAATAGCTGTTTTACCACTTCGACTACTGTAGCATCTGCCCCGATTATTGTATCCTGTATAGCCCCAGCTTCTACTATGGTTCACACTGTGGTGACTGAAAATAACCCACCACAGCAGATGCAAACAAGCACCCCAGCAATAACCTCCAGTGTTGTCCCAAAGAATGCAGAACCTTCGAGTAAACTGCAAAGCACGCAACTTCCTAACCACTCAGTAAGTCGTAATATTTTCATCTCTTTTGCATTTATTTAATGGAGGTGTGAATCAAGTGCCTAACTAGAGAAAGAAAATGTGCATTTGATGTCTATAGCAACATTTCTGATTTTACATTCTCTCCCCCAAGTTTGAAAATTAAGGCTTTGATCTGAGTGGATGCTGTGGACATTTCTCCACTTCACAATAAGGTTGCCATACTTTAAATGCTAAATGTATCAGTAGTCATAATTTAATTTCCACTCTTGAGTATATTGGATAACTTACATTGGCCATACAAGATTGTTTGGACTGATTGATCAAACATTAGGACATACTTATGTGAACCTTTTCAGTAGATGGTAGATAAATTCCCCATTGTAGCCTGTAGGATGCTAGCAGGGAATGCTAGGTTAGCTGTTTCTCCCTGTGTGTGTTGTCAAGTAGCCACCGATCCAAGCTCACTGCTGTGATGGACTACAATCTCACGTTTAGTTTACTAATTTGTATTACAATTGTAGTCCATCAGGGGAGCAGTGGCTACTTTACAACACACACAGGGACCATAGGGAACAAAGGTAGCCACCCACCAGAAGGAAGGACATTGTCACCACCAATTCAGAAAAGATTGGAGGATCTACAGCCGAGTGATGAGATGCATTTTTATTATTAGTTAAGGTATTTGAATGATTTTTTAAGATTTAATTCCGGAGTTTAGTTTCACTTCAATGGAAATCTGTTCTAAAGGAAGCATGGAGAATGCCATTGCTGACCTCTAATTTATGAAAATGTTAGTTGCCTGGCTCTAGCTTCAGTTCTTTGAATCACTGACCTAGAACATGTATGCAGAGAAGGACTTTTGACTTTACTCTGAATTTCCTAGTGTGCATTCTCTATTCCATGTTAGTAAATTGGAAGATACTGAAGACAGGAATTTTAGTATATCAGACACATATATGTTTCTGAGGAGGTCGGCAATATTTCACAAGTTTACTTTAATGTTGTAAATACAATAATAGTAATTTTCAGGGCTAAAATGTGGAATATAACATGGGTACAAAAAATGAAAAAAAGGCCTCAGTCATGAAGGGGTTAAACTTTGATAATTTGTAAGCTATAACAGATTTCACTCAATTGTAATGATTATATGTTTCTGTTTTATTATTTATAAACGGCCTTATTCTCTTAGCCTGTCAATTCTGTAATCGTACTACACAGGCTGCAGTGCTATGATGAAGACACATAGCACCTACATAGTATCTTTAAAATACTAATTGTTGGGAGCTGGCCACCCACTTCTCTCCTACTTATTGGCCTATTTTAGGGGTAGGCAACTTGTAAACTACAAGTCCGATCATGCCTCTGCCATTGGGAGTCATGCCTGTTACTGTCAGTCTTGCAAGATCTCATGGGACTTGTAGTACCACAACAGCTGCAGCTCCAAGGTTGCCTACCCCTGTTCTGTGTCAATGATGGGTGACATTGTTGGTCATTAGGAAGGTGTGGGAGGGACAAGTTGGCTCCTGGCACTGCCAGTTACCTGCTGGACATAAGAACAAATCCAAAGCTATGTACAGACTAGGTGCCCTAGGTTACTTTATTACACCTCTACGGTCTCTTTGGAAACATTTTATCCTGCAGTTTTTTGTTTTTTTTTAATCTAAGATGATGGTATCTATACATTATATTACTGTTAAAAGGTAATCTGATTGTATGGCCACATCATAAATGGACAGTGGCAGTCTGGGAAGAGCTCTCACTCTCTGATACGTTGAGTCCCTTTAGATTTATTTTTTTATTTGCCAAGTGGCAGCAAAACTCTTTATGGAGATATCTACACCAGTCCCTGCTCCCAAAGTAGCTTACAGACTACAGTTCATAATCATATCCCCAACACACCCTGTTTTGGTTGAGGCGGCTAATCTACTGTATATTTTAGGGTTGTTGAAGGGATTTGTACAAATAGAGAAAATCAAGTCTCCTCGATCGTTTTAAGGAGACGATTTGGAAATAAAATTGAACACCTTGTGCAGTAATCATAGTGATAATTAAGAATTAAAGGAGAACTATGGGGTGAGTGAATTACACTCATCCCTATAGGAGCCGACGTGCGACATTGAAACTGAAACTATTGATTGGGAAGTGACTGAAAACATACTGCCGCTCACTCCCCTATCATCTCCCTGCAGAGAGTGGTGACCGTCAGTCACCGCTCCCACAGGATTCCCCCCTACCCTCTCCGATCCTCCAGCACTGACTGGAGGATTGGATGGGGGAGGGGGCGGGCATAGCTGGCTCTTCCTCAAGATAGGCAGAGCCCGCTGTCAATCAGCCAGCGGAGTGGATCTGGACAGTATTGTCGGCATCCATTTCGGCTGCAGCGCTCAGCATATAGCAGGCAATTGCCTGCCTTATACTGAGTTTTGGGTCTTGGGAGGACACTAGTATATGTCCTGTCGTGACCCTAAAGAGAACTATGGGATAAAAAGGTTATCAAATAGTTCTTTGTGTGCCGGATAATTTTGTATTTTAAACATTCACTTTCTATTTACAACATTAGTGCTAAACAAACTTTTATTTAATCAAAGGCACTAAAAATTCAAACTGAGTCTAAAACTGTATATTAAAGTCTCCCTTGGCCTGAACTATGACACACCCATCAATCTCTTCTATGCAGGGCTCAGCAGTATTTAGATTGCTAAGCATTCTGATGGCTCTGAATAGCTGGCCCGCGAGAATTATAGACCTTATTCACACCTTGTACTCCACAACTCGTATTGCACAATATGAGGAGGAGGGTAATTGGGATTGGCTATGGTGTTTTTTGTTTTTTCTTTGAGAGGGGCAGGATTGTAATCTCTACTTTAATAGAAGTTGAGACACTTTGTACAGCCTGAGTCGAGGATACAAAAGGTTCAACAGTGTCACAGGGAATGTTTTTTGAAAACCAACAATGCATATATTGATGCATGCACTTCAACACTGTCTTTTTAGAGTAGGAGAGGTTTATTCTAAAATTGCCAGTGGCAGGATCCCTAAAGAGTATGCCCATCTGCCCTCTGTAGCCAGATGCAGTGAGATGTCTGTCGGTGGCCTTAACGCTGCTCAATCACTAGTGCTACAGAGGGAACAATTCCATAGGTGCAGACAAGGAGCCTGTTAGCCATCTTGCTCCTGTCAATTTCAACAAATCTCCAGTTGCAGTCGCCCGTCCAACATCAGCTTCCTGGTCTAAGGACTTTGTTACAAATTAACACCCTCGCTGGTTCTACTAACTTCCAAAATGGCTTGCATAGCAGTTACTGTATAGATTGTAAATCAATTTTAAACAAAAGTGGAGTTGCCCTCTAACAATGGTTAAGGTGCTACTAAAGCCAAAACTTTTTTTTTAAAGTTTTGGATTAATTAGCACTGTCAAGTTTTTATTGCTGTTTGTGTCTCACTTAGGGAGAGTCTTTCTCTGCGTTTGTCCCGATGACTGTTATCACTGAAATTGAAAACAAATTTTGGTGGCCCTCAGAACAGGAATAGATGGGAAATCTTCCAACAGGGTCACTGTTCTGGTGACCCTGCTTACCACTAGAGATTTCTCTCTGGAGGGATTTCTTCATACTTCCTGGTGTGACTTTTGGACAGGAAGTGAAGGAAAATCTCCCCAATGGGACAGATGGCAAACAATCGCTGACGGGGGTTATCTTCCCTTTATCCCAAAAAAGAAAAAACATGTATGTTAATAAGTATCTGTTGTGTTATGAATATTACTGGATATTCTGCATGTAATGTACTAGTGTTTATTAGTCACTGTCTGTAGTGTTATTCCCTGCTTTGTCATTTAGAGCAGAGTAAGCCTTCAATGTAAGAGGCTTTCTGCAGCAGGGGTGAGCTCATGGGAAGTAAAAAGAGCTTTCTCGACTTTATCAGTGAGATCACATGGTTTCTGCACATGAAAGTGAGTAATTTTTTGTCCAAAACCCAAATTATATTTGAGTCAATATCTTATAAGTATATATTTATGAGATTTTAGATGTACATAAATGCTGACTGAGCTATGATATCACTTTAAATCTTAAAGCCACACACCAGGAAGGTATAAATATTGAGTCCAATTATGTATTCTTTAATAGTATTTTTAAATGTTTTAAGTAACCTGAATTTATCTTCTTTCTCATCCATTAAAGGAGAACTATGACATGAGTGATTTCCACTCACCTCATAGTTCTAAGCCGACCTGTGACAATGAGACTGTCACAGGTGGGCTCAGTAGATCGGGAGGTGAGAGAACACGTACCGCGTTCCCTCACCTCTCGATCCTGTTACGGCTCTCTGCCGTGACAGGGGCTGGATTCCCCTCTCCCCGCTCCGATCTGCCAGCGCTGACTGAACGGACGGGGGAGGGGGCGGGCACAGCTGGCTCTGCCTCTAGATAGGCAGAGCCAGCTGTCACTCACGCAGCTGGGCGGATCCCGTCATCTAAGTCGGGATCCGCTCCAGGTGCGGCGTCTCAGTATACCGCGAGCTGCAGCTCGCGGTATACTGAGCTTAGGGTAACGGGAGGACGCTAGTTGGTGCCCTCCCGTTACCCCAAGGAGAACTATGGGGAAAAACACTGACTCCATAGTTCTCCTTTAAGGGGCACATGAATTCAGAAACAGTCTGGTTTCACTGCCACTTACAGGAGGTTTAGGCAAATAGAAAAATTGTAAGTCTGTCCCTCTTCTACTCAGCATCTCTCAGTTTTTTTGTTATTGTCCTAGGAGGTTAGGCACTGGGCTTTCTCTTTCCACAGCAGCTTACTGTGTCAACCGTGGAGCTCTTTCCAGGTCTAGATCTGTGGCACAGCCCCAGGTGTGACCCTGTCTCTGAAGACTCCCCTTGTGAGTAAGGTTGTCCGGGTTAAAGCACTGGAGCTTTCTCACTGTCTGCAACTTTTGAAATCTCCGGTTTTACTGCAATTAGTGTTAAGGCTTTGGGATTGAGCACGTCTTCTGGGTGCAGCGACAAGGGTGTGTGCTGCTCTTTTGTACTATTCTGCCTGGAGGAAATACCGTTGTTGTGCTGCTGTACCTGCAGAACATTGTGTACTTCTCCTGTCTGGTCTTTTTCCAGTGGCTTGCCTCACTGGGTCTAGTTGCATTACCACTACATGGACAAGGCGCTGTCTCGCTGCTATGGGTGACAATTCCTGAAGGGTCCTCGGCTCCATGTGAGTGTTTTTGGAGCTTTTCCCTTTTTTTAGTTTTTTTTTTTTTTTAATTGGTGGTCTTTTTCCACTGTGGATTTAACAACCCCTCCTTAACAGAAAGACCACTAGGTTGCTTGAGGGCATTCTACCCTTTTGTGATTCCACTTCCATAGTTAAGGTGCTTCCTAAATCCCAGTTTGATTTGACCATTGTGGCCCTTGCCATGTTGGGGGTAACTTTAATCCATCAAACGATGTCAGAATGGGTAGATTCCCTCCACCATTTAATAGTGGCTGAAACAAATGTCTGCAGCCTTCAAGGGACATCTTTTTTGCTCTTGACACGGTCGTTAGAAACGCCACGGGTGGCCAGAGTGTGCTCCTGCCTCAACGCAGAGGATCTGCAGAGGAGGTTTCAAACACCAAACAGGTCTTTTGGTAGTTTACCTTCCTGGCATTTGGATGCTCTGGGACCCATTGTGCCTTTTCAGGTGGGAGCTTGGCTTCTGGAGTTGTACCACATTCGAACCTGCACTTGATTCTGGAGAATCCTATATCTTTAATACTGTTAAACTCCTACTTGGTACCTTTCAACATCCACCTCTTCAGAGGGACCCCCTAACCTAAAGGTTGGCTGGGACTAGTTCTACTGCTCCCTTCCCTAATGAGGACCTGGACCCTCGCTGTCCTTTGGAGGCACCTGCTCTCAAAGCACAGGACCTTATGTCCACCCCTGTGCCTTTTTTCTGACATCCCCATTTGAAAACTCATAGAACACCGTTCCCTGAAGAGGGTCAGCTTTTTGGAACTTTGCATTGACTGGATACGACCTCATAAGTTTCTATCTTTGGTAACTAACTGTCGCAAATAAGTGTTTGGGGGCCCTCCCTGTGACAGGAAGTTGTCTGTGCAATGTTAAGAGTTCTGCTCTTGATTGCATCGTCTTCCCTAGGGACAGTGAATTGGTTTTTGCTTTCCACACTTGGGTGCTCCCCATCTCCTGCATGGCAGCCAAAATTCATTGCTGGAGGGCTCTGGGCTTTCCTGGACTGTCAAGGCAGAACACATTGGAATCCTGCTGTCAGTACCCCTGGTTGCTCTAGGCAGCATGGCTCGGGTGATTGTTCCTAGCAGTGTGGCTAAGGTTTCTGTTCCTCACTTGTGGATGCTTTGCTGCCCTGAGGCAGGCCAGGGGATTTTAAGAACCAGGTCTGTGTGCAAGGTTAGGCAGGTTCTGCAGCATTCCCCTTTCAGACCTGTTTGACACGTCCACGTGTTAATTTGTCCATCCTCTTGTTTCTGGTGTCCTCTTCTATCAGGCTGGGGTTGTGGTATACCATCATCCTTGCCTACCTTGTAGGGCTACCTCCTTTGTACTTCCCTTTTTTTTTTTTTTTATCAGGATGACTTTACGGTTGGTCCCCTTGAGTTCTCTCTGAGGTCATTTGGCTATTCTTATGGGATATTAAGCTGTGATGATTTTCAAATTGTTTAGCTATCTTGTTTGCGAGATTGATTGCCTCATTCTAATTATGGAACCTTTCATCCTTGAATCCTAAGGGTTTGGAGTGTAAGGCTTGGACCCTCATATGTAGACCAGCTGGTTTCCCTCTGGGTGACTTGTTCTCATGGAGATTTCTCCAGGGCTTTGACCACATCACCTATTTTAGTGGGCTTTTGGTTTCACAGCCTCTGGATGGTTCAAACTTGGTGTTCTTTCTGGCAGTCTTTTCCCTTGTCTGTAATATCTTCTGTCCTGGTCTTGAGCATCAGATACATCATCCTCTGTGGCCTTCCTTTGATCATATGTAGCGTCCTCTGTATTGCAGGAGGCTTTAGCTCATGTTGTTCAGATTCTGGCATTGGTACCTCAGGTAGTCCGGAGTTCCAGATGGTTCCTAGTCCTTACCTGGATCTGTCAGTGGCTGTTGCCCACACCACAGTTGGACTTCTTGTGACTGTCTAAACTTGTTTCTGAATGTCTTTCACTCAATGGATGAGAAAGAAAATAAGGTTTCTGTACTTGCTGTAAAATGGATTTCTTGGAGTCCATTTAGGGCCTTGGGCCACACCCATCACTGTTTTTGTTTTGCCTTGGCACTGCTTTTTCTCAAATCTGAGGCATGCTTCGAAGAAGAGCGGGTTATATGGTGGCTGGCTTACAATTTTTCTGTTTGGTGCCCTAAACCTGTAGGTGATCGTATAATCGAACAGTTTCTGAATTAATGTTCCTTAATGGTCTACAAGAAATAGATTTTATGGTTAAAAAAAAAAGGAATGTGTTCCTGCAGTCGCCTTTATGACAGTGCTGTCAGTCTTGCACTGCGAACATGCTTACAGGTGGGGAACACACAGGGTTGACCTTCACTGTGCTGTTGCCTAGATCACAAGAATGGTTAGGCAGAACTGCAAATTTTTTTAGTAGGTTTACACATGGCTTTCATATTTTGTAAATTTTGAAGTGGTAGGTCTGCTTTATTTACCAGTATGAAGCTGTTGCTATTCGGCTTTTAACCACTTTTATTGTTCACAGCAGGAAGCAATGGATAATGTAAAGAAATGCAAGAATTTTCTTGCAACACTTATAAAACTGGCATCCAGTGGACCACAATCACCGACCATGGGCCAGAATGTGAAAAATCTGGTGAAGAATTTACTTGTAAGTATTTCCTTCCATGCCTTTTTTTATAGATTATCCTGTAGGCATATTAAATGCCTACTTGCAAAAGGTCCACTCGTCAAAACTGAAAATAATGCTTTGGGAGACAGAGCATAGCATATCTGCTCAATACTTCAGTTTTTCGTGCAGTGATTGATTTACTTCACCTGTCCATCTCGGTGCTTTTTATTGGTAATCTGTTTTATCCTGGAATGTACCTAAATTGTGATGCTGGAATACCTATTGCAGCCTCTTTGCTACCTCTCGCATGCAGAAAGCCTGAAATAAAATAGTCAATACTTGGTTTCTTACAGCCAGCAATTAGTTTTAAACCCACCTTGAAAGTTTGCTTGTCATCGTTGATACAGAGAGAAAGTTACTTGGGGATCCATTTTCAACTGAGAGCAGGTATCTAGATCCGTTCTACTTTGTGGTGATACTGCATAGTGTGACCTGGGTTTGTGGCCCAGTTATGAAATGCAGGCTGCGCTATGGAGCCTGTGACGGGCCGGTTGTATGGGGGCGCATACGTGCAAAAAATACGATTGCGCCCATTACGCCGCACATGTTATATATCGCCGCAAACGTCGCAGTGAGAGCAATAAGTCTAGGGCCATCAATCACTGATAACACTAAACTGATGAGCGGTAAAATAGGGCACAGGCACTGCAGCTAGCATTCGGTAATTGCCCGTAGATAATGCATTACTGTATACCAGAAGACAAGTGTGAATTTGTGTATTTTTTTAAAAATGTGTTTTTTTGAAATTTGACTTTGTTCTCTGAAACTTCGTCTGCGTTGTTAGGATTCAAAACTTGAAGCGGAAGAATTTACTACAAAACTCTACAAAGAACTGAAGTCATCACCACAGCCATATCTGGTGCCATTCCTAAAGGTATTTGACTGGACTGTTATTCTCTATACAATATGCTACTACCATAGTTTAGCACATAAGTGTGCTGGCATGCCATTCAAAGTCAAAGCAACACACTACTGAAAGGATCAGGTGTGGTTATGGCCATGCTGTGTGCATTGGCTGCCTGTTCAAAATGAATGTGAGATGCGCATTTACACGCATGGCTAATGCACTTTGAAAGTGTGAATGTGGCTGGTAATTTCACCAGTACTTGCATGCTTTTGATTAGTTTAAGCCATATGTTGCTGGTATGGTTGCAAACAATGTGAACAGCAGTTTAGTTTAGAGTTAGGTCTATCTAAAGTTTTATATACCAGTTGACTTTCTCAGATGCCATAGTATTTACCATAAGTGGTGACATGTGATAAGAGCTGCATTCTGAAGAACCTTTTGTAACTTTTCTAGTGGAAATCTGAACTAGAAAAAAAGATATATAGTATTGCATTGGTATTATACTGATACATATATAGAGCTTACATATGTCAGTGTTCACTGAATAAACTGTGACTAACAGCCACCACCAGAGCAAAGCATGAAATCCATTGTGTGTAAAATTACTTGAATTGAATGACAGACTGTAGTGTTCATGATACCCAAGTATCCCATAAGTCTTTGCTGGTAACTTGTAGCACGATTGACTTGTTGGTCATTTACACACATTTTAGGTTTTGAACCTAGTTAAATATAATGTTTCTATTATGCATGTGTGTATGCAGCAAATAAATTCACATTTTCTCTGTGCTTAATATTATAGTGAACCAAATTTAGTAATGCCGATGTAAGCAACTATATATTACAGTAACATCTCCCAACTGAAAATCTTGACTTAAAATAACAAATTACTATTGAATTCATAAGTTTATTTGCCATTTTGGATTGTTGGACATAGCAGAAAATGGGGAGATTTTAGAAAGTCTATACAGGGCTTTGATGGATGGAGGAATCTCCTGCTGGCTATTGTAATCCTGCAGATGCGCACCCATGGCTGCTTGAATACCCAAACAGTTAGGATGCAGTTACTATTCAGCTGATAATTTTCCATCTGGCTCACCCCCATTGGTGCTTGCAGGTCCACCCACAGCTAGAATTAAAGCTGTCTTTGGGGACCTTTTAGTATTTCTAGATCATTGAGCTAATGGATGACAATAGATAGAATGTTATCACAATTTATTCTTTTTTCTTTACAGAAAAGTTTACCCTCACTGCGCCGGATGATGCCAAACTCCCAGGAGTTTATCTTACAATGTGGTCCACAGAACTCAACGCCACCTGTCACTGCCACCAACTCACTCTCCTTTGTTAAGATTACACCTACAACACCTATACAGACAATAAAACCAGCTAGTACTACAATAATTAGCAATGCCAAAGTTCCGCAGGCTACAATAGCTGTGCCGCAGCAACTCAACAGCTTAAAAGCTATGAACTTTAAGCAGTTGGTAAGAGAATTTGTTTAGTGTCCATGTGTTTACTTTGGGGAAAAAACATCGATATCAGTTTTTATTTTTCCTGCCATGAGAAATGTGTGCTGTTCACCCCAACCCTCTGCTGAAAATGCTAGTTCCCCCTGTTTTCACATATTAGGAGGTTGCTGTTCTAGAATGAGTGTTGGAGTCTGAATTTCCAATTTCACTAACTGCATACTTCAGTCAGCAGCTCACTAAGTAGTAATGATCAAACATTGTCTTCCCAGGTAGATAGTTTTTTCCGAAGGGGGTTGTGAATGGTAGCACAGGGTACTTATTTCATGACAGATCATTTTTAATACTTGAATAACTGTCTAATTTTTTGTTTTTTTCCTGTGGTCTAAGCCTTCAAGAAAACATCTGTCAAAACACATTCATTTGCAGGGTTATTCGCAAAAGTGTGAAGAGTTTGGAGAAGGCAGGAGAAGTGAACCATCTAGGACAACATAGCTGAACTGGAAAGTGAGCTGACAGGTAGAATTTTTTGAAATCAGCTATTTTGTCCTAGATTGTTAATTTCTCCGACCTTCTCCAAACTCTTCACTCTTTTGTGTATAACCCTGTTAGTTTTGCTTACCTTTGCATCCCTGCAGTTTAGTTTCACTGTGAGAAATTCCTTTGGCAAACTCCACACCTCATTGCCTCCTAATTTTGTTAACCTTCAGTGCTTAGCTACATTACAGCCTAAACATGAAAACACTGGATTTGACAGTACAATGCTTTGTTAAAAATGTGCAGCTTCCTATATGTGCTGCCAATGGATGTGTGTGTGTGTGAATGAAATTATTTCTTGCAATTTGGAGAAGGTGTCAATTTTGTCCAGTCAATTTTTGCAGTTTTGCATAAAATGTCTCAGGTTTGGCTTTCTTTTTCTCCCCTTTTTTTTTGTCATACCAATACAAACAAAATAAATAAACATGAGAATGCGTAAACATTTGTAATTGCAACAATTTTGCAATTGCAATTTTGGTGCATTATCTGACAGAAATGCAGGGGTGCCAATATTTTTAGCATACCGCTCAGCCATAACATTATGATCACCCACCTAATGTTGAGTAGGTCCTTCTGCTGCCAAAACAGTCCTAATATGTTGAGGCATGGACTCCATTCCATTCTCTACAAGACCTATGAAAGTCCTGTAAGTTGCGAGGTGGTGCCTCCATGGATCAGACTTGTTTTTCCAGCACATCCCACAGATGCTCTATTGGATTGACATCTAGAGAATTTGGAGGTCAACACCTCAATCTCGTTGTGTTCCTCAAACCATTCTTGAACCATTTTGCAGTGTGGCAGGGCTAATTAGGTTGCTGGAAGAGGTCACTGTCATCGGGGTATGTTTGAATGAAGGTGTGTACATGGTCGGCAACAATGTTTAGGTAGGTGGTACATGTCAAAATAACCCACATAAATGGCAGGAACCTAGGTTTATCAGCAAAACATTGCAAAAAGCATCACCCTGCCTCTGCCCGCTTGCTTTCTTTCCATAGTGCAGCCTGATGCCATCTCTTCCTCAGGTAAGTGACACATGCGTAATAAGCCATCCAACCACACATTTCTATGGGAACCAGCATTAACTTTTTCAGAAATCTCTTCTATTGGACCGGACTACAGGGGCTAGCTTTTGTTACCCATGTGCATCATTGAGCCTTGGCCACCTATGATCCTGTTGCCGGTTCACTGGTTTCCTTCCTTTGACCACTTTTGGTAGATCCTGACCACTGCAGACCAGGAACATCCCACAAGAGCTTTAGTTTGGGAGTCATCCCACCCACTTCCAGGTGCTATTGTAATGAGATCAATGTTTTTCACTTTACCTCTCAGTGGGCATAATGTTATGGCTGATTGGTGTATATATTTAACGCCAAGCAACTCATGGCCAAGATTGGCGTTAGTCACTAAGTGCTTTCCCATGTAACAGTACCTGTGCATACCGGCTGTTGTAAGCTCTTTATTGCTTTTTCTTTATCTTTTAAAAGTATCTTTGCTCGTTCTATCTGGATAAAAGGACCCATCTCTCTTTTCCTGGTAAGCAGGGATTTTTTATTAGCTGAGATCAGCCCATCTGCCCATATGTCCAACCAATTACTGTCTTAGAGGGTTGGTATTGATCATATTAGTTCTCATTACTGTTGTCGTCCGGTTCCCCACCCAAGATGATGGTGCCAGCACATCACTGGCCGTATTTTCCTAAATCCCACGTTCACTTTCCATAGGGATAAAAACAAATACTTAGTTAATCCTGTTGAGGTTTAACCCTTTTGCTTCCGCTTTAACCTTTTCTCAAAGTTGAATCCCGATTTTTTGTTTTTGCTATTCACTTTTTTATAATGTTTCACAATTTTTCTTACTGACAGCTTTGACAGTTATGGTGCTACTGATTTTGTACACCTTGCGATGGTTGCGCAAAATGTTTATTAAAAGAATATTTTCTATAAAAATACACTACAATCATTATTGGCGTGCACACACAACATAATTCCTAATAAATCTAACAGATAAAACCATATTGAGTTAATAAAAACAGATTTGTAAAAAATTTTTTTAAATTGGGCGCTTATGTGAAACATTGTTAATTGAAAGAATGCAAAACTGTAAAACAACTTGCGCTAAAGATCTGGAGGTTGGCAATATGAAATCTGGAGGAGAATGCGATCAGTAGTTTAGTCACTGATCACTGCTATTCATTAGTGAGAAGTGTATAGGGCAGGGGTAGGTAAACTCCGACCTTCCAGCTGTGGTGCAACTACAAGTTCCATGAAGCATTGCAAGACTCTTGACAGCCACAGACATGACTTCAAGGGCAGATGTTTGATGGGATTTGAAGTTTGACCACAGCTGGAGGACCAGAGTTTGCCTACCCTTGGTCTAGGGTAGTAGTTCTCAACCTGTGTAACCTCGGGACCCACATTTGTTCTCGGTCATCAAGTTGCGACCCAAAATAAGTACACATGCATGCCGCACGTGCATGTTTATTCACAGGCAGGATTGGTTTTAATTTTTTGATCACTTTTTAAAATGTTCTCTCTATCCTGAATGAATTTGCTGTCGTCCCATGTCCCCCAGTAGCCAGGCAGCTCTATAGAAAATGAGCAGCAGAGACCCTGTTAATGCACCCGCTAACCCCCCTTATTCAGTACTGACAGTGGAAGAGCAGGGGACCCCGAAAAGTACGGCGGGTAGTGCTCCGCGGAGGACCACACAGGCTGCTACACATGATCAGGGCGGCTGTATAGAAAATGAGCAGCGGAGCCCCTGCTAATGCTCACGCAACCTCTCCCTCCCCCAGCTTCTGCACTGACAGGAGAAGAGCTAGCTGCATGGACATATGTTTTTATCTGATCACCACACATTATTATCCAAAAATTGCATACCTCTCCCCACCTGCCTGCCTCTCTCAGCCTCCACGGTCTCCGGGCAGGCTGCAATCATTGAAATTTCTCCTCTGCACTGGGGACGACAATGAAGGCCGGAACTTTAACTTACCAGGAGCTGCAGCTCCCGATTTATTACCTCGAGGGAACTGTTTCATAAAACAGAGGAGACTCTTGCACGCTGCAAGGTCCCATCTCTGTCTCCCTGCTGAATGGGGCAGTAGAGCCAGCTCTATGGACTAAGGACGGTGCAACCCACTTTTGGGTCACGACCTACCAGTTGAGAACCACGGGTCTAGGGGATCCTTAAGATGAATCAACCCCTAGCTCGCAAACTGTGAGCGATTTCGGTTTCATGTGAGCCTTATGTCTGCTGGGCGCTATGCGGAACATGCCTTTACGGCTGATTACCTCTGTGTCTGGGCACCTTTAGAACTGGAAAATGTGTATTTAGTTTAAATCCATTGATATATGTAGGCACACAATAGCTGCATAGTCTTTCATATCCCAATTTAAACTCAACAGTGTGCATCTAATTTGTGATTGTCATTTTAAAACTAGTGGGAGGGGGTTGCTGCTGGTAGCCGACACTGACACTTGTATATTTCAGTGTAATCATGGAAAATGCAGGATTTTGTATTAAAAATCAATTTCTAGAAAGGTATGCATTTTTGTAGTTCATACAGAGGTCTTAATGTAGTAAATGTTTCTTATTAGACAGATTAGCTCAGCAGGATTTGCACCCAGCCCTCTATGATTTTAGAACATTTTATATAACATTTGTTATGTGTGACTTAATTCTACATGAAATAAAACTGCACAGAAAATCTTGCAGATTTTATTCTATGACATTTGAGTAAACTGCATTAATGATGAATTTTGAAACCTCCATGACTAGCGGTATGATAGGCCTGTGTGTCTCAAGGGATTAAGGCCATCTGGACAAGTGTACGTTGTTAGATATTACTGTAAACAACTGGTGAGATTTCTTGTTGTCATATCCAGACAAGTGTATGCTTGAGGTTTCCAGAGTGTGATGTGTGTAAACTGAAGGCTAGACGCACATGGCTCTCGGCAGTCTTGCTTGATTAAGCAGGTTGATGGACTGTTTGGAATGGGGACCTGTTTTTGCCTTCTAACGTTGATGTTACTGTTGCAGGTAGTTCAGCAGCCAGCCGGCGGTGTAGTGAAGCATGTGACCGCGCTGCCCTCCCGTGCGACAGTGACCCTTAAACCTGGAGAGAAGCAAATCTCCCTGAATACACTTATCCAAGCAGGGCACCTGGCACCAGGTATGTTACATGTTTAAACGGTTTCCTGAGGTCCTGAGCTGAGTGTGTTTTTAAGTACTCATACAAATTGAAGTAGAACTGTGGTCGTGTATAAATGACATTCTGCAGTCCATCACTGGTAATAACACAGCATTTATTGTTTTATCCAAGCCTCTCCCGAGTCCTGATCCAAGTAATATTTCATTATGCAGTTGTAGCACAAGTTTGGTTCTTTTTGTTAAAAAAAAAAAAAAAGTTGTTTATACCACTTACATGAAAGTTGTTCTAGTTCTAGTTTTCCTCAACTACTGTAACTGTCAATCTTATTGGACAGCTTGGGCTGCGTCTATTTGGAGAAAATGTATATATAGGAACATAAATTAAATAAAAGGAATTCATATAATGAATAAAATCATTACAGGTATTAACTATTCTCATTTAACAGAATTCAATATTTTCTGCAGCCTTGAAGTAGCAGATGGATAATATAATCTCTAAAAAAAAAAAAAAATTGTTATTTACATTAGACTGATTGCTGCATACAGTGGCTTGCAAATGTATTCACCCACTTGGGCATTTTTTTCTATTTTTTTGCATTACCACCTGGAACTAAAATACATTTTCATTTGGATTACATGTAATGGACAAACACACAAAATAGTCCAAAATGGAAGTAAAATCAAGAAATAACTTTGCTATGAATCCTCTACTACACAAGATCTGGTGCAATCATTTACCTTCAGAAGTCACATAATTTGTTAAATAAAGGCCACCTGTGTGCAGTCTACAGTAAGTGTCACATGATCTCCGTATATATACACCTGTTCTGAAAGGCCCATGAGTCTGCAACACCACCAAGCAAGCGGCACCATGAAAACCAGGGAGCTTCCCTAAGAGGTCATGGAAAAATACTTTTGCAAGCCACTAGTATGCAGACTCATAGCTTCTGATTGTGCAGGATTATGTGCTGAGAAGACACGTTTTGAGACAACTTTGTGCTTGGTAATGTGAAACCCCAACCCAGTTAGTGGATTCTTAGTGGCCTACTTTGTGTATAAAATCCAAATTGCTTTTTTTTTTTTTTTAGAAACTAAATTTTAATTTTATACAAGCACACTGTGGGTAGTACATGTTGTTTATAGTGGCTCCGTGAGTTTGTTTGTACCTTCTCCTTTATGGCAGCTCAGATTGAGTAACTGCTCCTCTTCCTCCTCCTGTCCCTTCAAGGAACAGTAAGCGCTATGGTTTAGGGCCTGTACACATGAGTTTCAGGTCCGGATCAGATGCAGATCTGCAGACGCGGTGCCATGCGTTTTTGATGCGTTCCAGTTAAAAAAATAAACTTTTTTTTTTTTTTTTGCTGGAGTGGGGCTGTCAGTATGTTAGCTGCAGTGCAGTGCGTTTTTGACGCGTTTTGCATTTCCGGACCGTTTCCTGACCGTACAAAATGTGACATGCAGTATTTTTTCTGCCGTAACCTGAACGGACTGCGCGCTTGAGATCTGTAGTCCATAAAACACACAGGGATACATTGGGATGCATTTTTAGTGCAGGAGCGTACGGATCAGGTCAGCACAGAAAACGGACGTTGTGTGAACAGGCCCTTAAAAGCTCTTCCCTACCTCCAATACCCTTTGCGCTGTCTTTCTACTTGAAGGAATCCGTGTTCTGGGTATTTTTTCATTTTTTGTCCCCCTAGATTGGGCGAACCCTTTAACTAATCTGTCCCTCAGCTCCTTATCTGCCAGGATAATCGCTGAACTCATGAGGGGGGCGGGGGGACTTTTTTTAAATAATATAAAAAAAAAGGATTAAAACTTTAGACTTTAGCGTCTCTGCTGTGATCATTGAGGATCATTTACTCCACAGTACTTAAAGCTACAAGGGCTGATTTTAAATGTATTTTTGGTTTTAAGAATATGTAGAAAACATTGTTTAGTCTGGGTAAAAGTGCCCTTTAACCCTTTTGCTGCCAAGCCCTCGAACATTTTGCAACTCAGCTGGCCACGCCATTTTTGCAATTTTTCCCATTGATTTGATTTTCAACTGCTGCGTTGCCAGCGTTTGTAAAAGACCTCCCAAACCATATATTTTCTAAAAGCAAAGGCCCTGTAGAATAAAAAGATGGTGCTACTAAATTTGTAGGCCCTTCAATAATTGTGCAAATGTTTCTCAAATTAATATTAAACTGATAAAAATACACAATTCAATTGATAAAGCCCTAAAATCGGTATCAGTGCACAAAAAAAATATTTTCCGACTAAATCTAAAAGATAAAACTGTATTGAGTTAATTAAATAACAAATATATTTGCAAATTTGAAATTGCGCCTTTTTGCGAAAAGGTCAAAAATTGAAGGTAAGCAAAACTGTAAGCGGCTTATGTTAAATTGTTTTTACGCTGTGTTTGTGTTGTGATCAAATGAGTTTGTGTTGTGATCAAATGATACAGGCGTATATTTAATTGCAACACTATCACAACGCATGGCAATGCTACACAAAGCTTTGCCATGCACTGCCGCAGTTAAAATGTTTTTGCTAAAAGAAAATAAATAAAATGCACTGCGATGCGTTCTAACAACGCACTGCAGCGCATGTGCATGGCGTACACCACAATATGGTGCACGTGTAAAGTGTGTGGGGGAAGGGAGGGGTTGTGCTTTTTTTAATTAGTTTTTTTTTTTTTTTTTTTTTACTATTTTTATTTTTTAATGTTGGGGGGGCTACGATGAAATATCTGGGGTCTAAACAGACCCCTGACATTTCCCTTTTGAAATAGAAAAAGAAATTGAGGACACAGAATCCTCAATTTCTTCTTCTTCAGCCCCAGCACTCAGTACAAAGGCTTCCCATTCATTCAGAAACTGATGATAGTAAAAATATTTTACTATCACCAGTTTATGAATGGGGAGGAGCCTCTGTAGTGAGTGCTAGTCCCCATTCATAAATATATGAATGAACAGGAAGTGATGTAAATCACAGCCTCTTCATAACTGGGGACACATATTATTTTGTAATTAACTCGGGACACAATACTAAGTACTATCCTTGTCACACTCCTTACCGATATGTCCCTTGTAGTGGGGGCTCCTCGCAGTGACTGCGGATGGCGCCGCGAATGTCAGCAAAATTGTAGAAATGTCACCAGCATACCAGTCCTTTTAAGATAGCAAAAGCTTAATTTATTAAAGTTTTTTTTGTCATATGCCCAAACAAGCGCTTTCGGGAGCGCACAGGGTCCCTTCATCAGGCTTTAGCACCAAGGTCAATGATATTTATCGGTCCCCTGTTTGGCCACGCAAAGAGCTGCTGTCATCCGGAAACTGACAGGATGACAGCGGCTCCGGTATACTTCCCGTTCTGCCATCCTGAATTGCAGCCAGCCGCCGCTCGCTCCTCTCCCACCCCCCACCCC